TAGTAGCCTGGATTGATTCATCTCCAGCAGCAGTTCACGTCGGAGACACAAGACATGAGACGTATGTGACATACCTGGACCCTCCAAGGGGTGTCCAATGGACTACCCCACACTACCTATAGGCTTCCATTGGGCACCCCTTAGAGGGTCCTGGAGGTATGTGACATATGATGAATCGCTGTGCAGAGACCTCTTCGACCGCCCGACGGACGGCTCGTTTCGACCGCCAGGTTGGGTCTCCAGGCCTGTCCAATTCGAAGGTCTCAACCAGGACGGCCCGCTTCTGAAGGTTTCACACGGGTTGTGGTCATTGGCTTTTGGTGTGTTTTGGTGTGTTTTGGGGGAATGAAGATCAGCGACATCGGATTGGATTGCTTGGGCTTGGAGATGGACATGAATGGACATGGGGGGCAAAGACTCACACCGGACCTGTAATACTCACCAGTCCAGTCCCATGTGGCTTGGGGACGAAGTTTGGGAATCCCACACCCCAGTTGAGGGTATGACCGGATTCGGCTGGGTTGATCAAGGGTGTCTCCTTAGAACCCATTGTGGGCAGCAGAAGTGGAGGATTCAGAAAGCAATGGCAGGGCTGCTTCAGGGTGGCTGAGCGGCTCCGCACAGACAGTACCTCGCAGAGTTCCTGTTTATTGGGCGATTTCGTTGTTGGAGGCCGAGCGCTAGCCTGTGAGGGCGGCGGAAGCTCGGACAGTTGATGGATCTAGATTCTAGAAATTTCTAGATTCTAGAGCTTGTAAAACATGCAAGTAGTATAGTATAGTAGTAACTCTATACTCTATACTAGTATTCAGATATAGTAAGTAGTACAGTTAGTATTAATATATTTACTAGTATTCAGATATAGTAAGTAGTATAGTTAGTATGGATATATTTGCAATCTTGCTGCAGCAAGCACCCATGACAACGGTCAACTGGTGCATGTCGGGCCTTCTGCCGCAATGTCAACATCGTTCTGCCACCATGAAATGCTGCTGCTACCCCGCTTTGTTGAGCCACGGAGAGTTCTTCGATTGGCTGGTTGCAGCGCATCAAAACCACCGTGGCGCCGGTGGCTCTTTCTTCGAGTGCCGGCGGCATCACACGAGCCAACAGACAAAAGGATTTGAGTGCCGGTTTGGGGTATCCTTCACCCCGTGGCGCAGTTGATAGAAATAGCGAATAGCATGGAATTGGAATAGGGCCAATCGTTTGCATCGACCGGCTAGACCGGGTCGTCCCTCAACATCCCACAGATTCACCGTGTGGCTGCATGGGTATCTCAGCAGCTCCCAGTTCAGCTGCAGCTTCTACATTCTGACTGGTGCTTAGTAGGGAATGAGGGAATGAGTCCCAATAGAGATTCCTTTGGATCCATTCCCTCATTCCCTACTAAGCACCAGTCAGCATTTGTTGAACTACATTTGGAAGCTCGGATTCCTCGATCCAAATCCGCTGAGTCTTCCAGGAGTTCCGCGGGGCCATCGAGCTCGAGGAGTCACGTCGACCGAGCTCGGTCCGCGGGCCGAACCGAAGGAGTCACGTTGGGTTTGGAGTGGTGGGATCTTACTCACCCTAGAGTTGTTTAAATTCATGTTGATCCACGTACTAGACATGTTAAGGTGTTGTTGAATCATCCCACACCTGGTTTTTCTTCCTTTCCATTGAGTTTGTTAGAGACGTTGCAGTCACTGATGGGAGAGACCTTGAGTTGTTGGACTGAATTCGGGACAGAACCTTCCGTTCTCGTCCCTATCTTGGACGAGAGGAGGAAGTCCGAGAGACATTCTCTTGAGGCACAGCCGGAGAATGTTCTGGATACCTTCAACAAAGGCCGCAGCAGCATGCGCAATGGTCATGTGAAAAAAAAGGTCGATATCGGGACATCGATTCATAGTGGCAAGAAGTAAACTTGCGTGTGAGGATGGATTTAGAATCTTAGAATGATGTGGACTGTTTTGAGCCTTCGCCTAGCAGTTTCTGGAATTCTGAAATGAGGATCAACGACCAGTGGACATTTTCCTCCTTGGTAGGGTCTGTTCTGTTCTTCCACTCCCGCCCCTGCGCCCCTTGTGCACCGTCACCTTTGCCGGTTTCATGTCGCGCGCAGGCTTTCGTCCTCGTACCCAAGGCACAAGAAACAGTAGTTGATGGATGCCATGGCTTGTGGCTTGTGGTAGAGACTCATGTCAGAATGAGGTGATCGAGCTGTCAGTCACTTTCACTTTTGGTGTTCAGTGTTTCGTTTGGCTGCATCGAACAACGTTGGATTGTCTCGCTTGAGCAGCTGGCGAGTCAACTAGGCTTTTGCATCGAACTGAAAGCTGCGGGGATCCCAAAGTAGCTGTGTAGCAGTGTTGAGTCCGACTCTGGCAGGACTGTGTAGATTTGTGCTTTTCTCGAGACAGCTGCCGGCTGCATGCTGACACTGATGGAAGAGATCCTCACACTTAAGTTCATCCATTACAATTCACTGCTTCAGTGGTTGGCTGCACCACGCGGACACGATATTCCGCATGCAAATAGCATCAAATAGCACATAATTAGGTGAGAAAACCCTTGATATGACCTTCTCTGATTTTGTTTAGAGGTTGTATGTCAATAATCCAACAATAGTCAAAACATACAACCTATAGTCAAACAATCAACGGGTCTGTCCGCATGTTTGCATCTTCTCCACCTCTTGTGTGCTGCCGAAAGGTCCGATCGCAGACGGAACGCCCAGACGGAACGCCAGACGGTCCGATGAGATACTGATACGGTCCGATGTGATGTAATGAGTCTACAGGCCAATAGGCGAAGTGCAAACTCGGGGCTACCTACACAGATTCTCCAGAACATCGCATCAAGCGATGGGAAATCTCAGTCAGCGGGGATTCAGAACCAAGGATGGCCAGAAATGATGATGCTAGCCAAGGACAATAGCCTTGGGCTTCCGCTGTTGCTGATAGTTGTCTGAAGCCATGCTAACACTTGAACGTTAACATGCAAACACGATCATCTAGAGTGAATCTGTTCATTCTGCTGTTCGGCTTCACAGGCTGTGACAGGCTGTGACAGGCTTTGCTCCACCTGTTCGCAACCGATGCCATGCGATGCTCTCCAGGAAGCCTCGCTGCCGAGTGGACCACGGGACGCTTCGTGCGCAGGGACTGTGGCCAGGCGGTCCGGCCGGACGGGACCGGATGGCGCCGTCGTCCTCGGTGCTGTCCGCTTTGGAAGGCTTTGGAAGGAGGAAAACGGACCGATCACGGACGCTACGAATGGCCGTTCGTCGGCAGAGGTGAGTATGGACATGGCCCGCAAACCCTGCAGAGGTGTGGAGATCGCGATTCATATCGATGCAAACCGTGCGCGTTTAGGCGCCAAAACACGCAGGTTGGATGCAAGATTAATCAGATTCTTCACCAGAGGCCAAAGGAATCATCTCTTTGGGTGTGACAAGCAATGTGTCATTGCTAAAGCTGTTGACCTATTGGTCGAATGATATCGAAATACGTCGAACATGATCTTGGTATACTTCAGGCAGACAACAGTTTACGCTTGTTAGCCTTCTTACAAAACACTCTGAGGTCAGAGGAGGATCGAATTAACAAGTCTAATTTTCGTGGCAGGTGTGGGACTGTCAATTATCACACCGTTTTAAATATATAAAAGTAAAAGCTTTCCGGGGTAACAAATGACCGCCCACACCTTCCCTTGTCTCATGGTGTAGGATTCTAGGGGGATAGGGTTGTCATGAGTTTCAACATCAACAAGCGCAACTTTCATCTGGCCAGTGTATCTTGGTGAATTTTCCTGTGAGTTTAATATAAACATCCGCCTAATATCAGCCTCCAATATGGTCAAATGGTATCAAACTCAAAGTCTTCAGATTTGGTTTTGCATTGTGACATGTTTACAGGTTGACATCATTTCCTAATTTTGCACGTCGAAGACCTCTTGAGAGAAAACCAGTTTCCCTCCACTTCGGAGAGAACTCCGTTGATTTCAAATCTTCTTTTTCACACATCAAATTCGGAGGGCCTGCAAGGTTGGTAAGACAAACTCATGAAGAACGATGAACGCGGATCTGTCAGGTCGCGCCCGCGCCGCGGGCAGAGCAAGATTTTCCCGGAACGTCTGCATCGGAATGAAGGCTCCACTCTGTGATGGAAAGCAGAGTTAGGTACCCATAAGCATGTTCCTCCTGTAGGGATAGTTGTTGTGAGCGATGAGCATTTTTCATCGACGCACAGTGATTTCATGTTCAAACTTTATTTCACGGCTTGGAAGCCTCTCCAACTCTTGGAAGTCAAGAGTCTGAAGGAAGCCACCAAACAAAAGTTCTACCGAAGAGAAGCATCCAAACATGAGAGAAGATCTTGCGTGATCTTGCCAATTTCCCGACCAAAAGAGCAGTGGCCAATCCTGGTTTGGGTTCCAGATTGTGTGGGATCTGTTAACCAGAAGCAGTTTATGCTCAGACCTCACACACACAAAACAACCTTGGTTGCATCCTAAGCAACAGTAAGTAAGATTGTAAGTGTGATGAAGGGAAGCGTTCCTTTTTGTCTCATGCACTGAACATCTAGAGTCACAATGAATCATATTTGTAAGATCACATAAATCAAAGAAGGGAGGAGTACACACACATATATATATATATACATAGAGATAACATAAAATATATATAACATATATATGTACGTCATACATCTCCCAAGGTCTTTTGAGCAGGTTCGAACTAGGGAAGGTCACCTCCAAAGAATCCAGTCCGGGGAATGCGCTGAGTCGTCGTGGCCCACAGAGACGGTGATGTCGTGGCAGGACTTGTCCCCAACGTCAGAAATCACAACGGGGACTCCTGCGGTTTTTGTTTTGACTACATCATAGGATGATACAGACGAATACTGGATGTCAACATCTTAACTTGACTTGTATCAATGAAATTCAATTGAAAGTCAATAATAACTAAATCCATTGAACTCCAGGGTTTCTGCAGCCATTGGAACTTCTGGACCATGTCGGTGCTCGTGCCCATCTTGAAGCAGGGCCTTTGGCAACGACCACATGTGCCCGAGGAGGTGCCAGAGGAACTGCAGGGCCATCTCAGCCAAGAAGACTACCAGCAGGTGGCCGGCCGTTGGGGAGTTGTGTTTGGTCATGGGAAGCAACTCGTAGACTCCATTGGACTCTGTTAGACTCATACTTCAACCCCCTATGAAGAGGTTGACCGTCCAAATGCAGGGGGGGTACTAATCAAGAGTACGTTGTATTGACCAGCGTAGCGAGCCATGCTCGTGCCTGTCATGAATCTTAGAGCGACCGTTGTGGTTTGGACGATTATTTATGTTGTTCATTGTCTTTCTCATTCATAAATTCCAATTTAGCAGCATGCGATGCTGGAGATCGGATTTTGTTCTCATGCTTGCGATGTCCAAGGCAATCTTGGGTTTCATGTTTCCATCATTGCGGAGAAAGGTCATTCTTGAGTGAACAGGTCATTCTCGAGTGAACCCCGCGTGTGCAGGTGAAAGGCGAGTTGGATCAGCTGGTGCAGCGAGCAGCCAAAGCAAGGAGGTTTGCACTGATCCGAGGCTGGATTTGTTTTCGCTTATATGCACATGCAGCATATATATATATACTGTATATATCGCATTATTTGAGAGTTTTTCAATATTTTTCAATGAAAACTCGTTTCCTGACGAGGGTTTACGGATGTCAGCTGTCAAAACATTGTCAAGCTGATGAGATCCGAGGCCTTGTCCTTTTTCTGGTCTTTCTGGCAGCTGCTATTCCCTTCATGGTCTTCGGTGCTCTTGGAACCGTACTGGATAGTGTCATGAATTTTCGGTTGTTTGTGATCTCTGCGGCTTTCGGCTTCTGTTCCATCCCTTGCGCTTTCAGCGCCTACCACGCTGCAACTGTGCCACTGAGCCGGTGCAAGGGACCCACTAATATGCCTAATTCAACCTTCAACCAGTTGCATCGCCAGTACCCTGGCATCCACTGGCAATACCTTGAAGGGACTGAAAGTGATGAGAGCAACGTGGTCGTTGCGGCCTTTCAGGCAACTCTGGTGGCAGCGGATTCGGAGGCTGGAACCAATTAAAGTGATTTGCACCTGAAGGGTTCTACACCAGCAGTGCTCATGAGCTTGTCCCAGAGTCTGTTGGGATGGCCCTAAAACGGGGCTGGTTGTGCAGCTTGTCCAAGAGGGACGCCACCTCAAAGCGTCAAAGACAGCAAGGTGACAACGAAAAAGTGTGGCCCAGTTTGGCTTACAGCCTGCAGAGACGATCCAATGACCATAACTACTCCTGCAAAGCTACCAGGTAGTTGCTATCCAACTGCTATCCATTGGATATCTAAGACTACTTTCCATCTGGGTAATCTTAGTTATATATGTATATAAGTGCTTCGATTCTTGACTGCTCACTGTGCGTTACATGAAGATTTGCAATCGCCATGTTCATTGCATTTCAGATCTTACTCAAGGCTTATAGGTTTCTTTAAAGATCATGCTGAGGAAGAGACTTCTGGGCATCAGTGGTCAGTGGTCGATTCCCCCATTTTACGGTAACATTATGGGCTAATATAGGTAATATAATCACTCCATATAACCACCGGGCCACCGGACCATCATGGCCAAAAACAGCAACATGCGATACAAACCGAACCTAGAGGTGTTCAGATCAAGTCAAAGCGTGAGGACTGCAAGTGGCGGCTGCCACATAGGAGTTCATCGAGATTGCCAGCAACTGATCATCCACCTGAAGTGATCTACTGGCATAGTATTCTGGGTTGCAAAGAACTGAACATCCAGACTCAGACAGATACACTCTTTCTCTACATCTTTTTCGCTTCCCGCCATGCCGCTTTCCATGGCTTCCATTTGGCTGCTCTGCGCGGTAGCGCCTTGCTCCGCGCACGGCGCCGTTCCCGGTGCGTCCGGCGCTCCGGCGCTTGGCCCCGCGGAGCGCGCGCGGCGCCTGGTGGCGCGGATGACCGTGGCCGAGAAGCTCAGCATGCTCCACGGCCCCGCGGGCGGCTCGGCATCGGGATGCAGAGGTTGAGCTACACATTGGATTGGATATAGACTCCTGAAGAGCCAACTGGTAGGTCAATAGAGATCCTTGAAGCCTTGAAGGTCTGCCAACGGAGTGTTTTCTGTTTGGAGAGGCTAGATGTGATCACTGGATGATCAGTTATCATGATCCAGGTCTAAGTTCAGAAGCACTGATGAACCAGAGGAACATGTATCATCAATTATCATCATACTGTATATCATCTCTTGGTTCAAAGGCTACCTATAGTGTGACTACGTGGATGGATAACGTAGGAGACCTGTTTTCCGTTGTTTGAGGCGGAAGTGCGCAATGCAGTGTGAGCCCTCGGTGTGCCTATGTGGGGAATGTGGCGCCCATCGAACGCTTGGGCATCCCTCCCATCAACATGAACGACGGCCCTCAGGCGCGGATCGTCTCCGCTTTCGGATGGGCGACAGGACGGGTCGATAGGGATCATTGGTGTTCGTGCATCAGATAAGAAGGATTGAGAATGTAATTACTTGTAAACGTCTCACAGAACTTTCACAACAACCCATGGAAAGGGATATCTGGTTGTATATAATGGTTTTTTCTAATCCAGGGGCCGTTTCGTGGAATCCCGCCACGATCGACGAATCGACTCAGTGATCAAAGACGTCAGTCGCGCGGAAGTGAAGATGATCTTCGGACAGGTTTTCTTCTAACCGGCTATATAGACCACCCACAAGTCCCTACATGTTCATTTCTGTGAACAAAGTCCCAACCTTTTACAACCCACTCAAAGTACTTTGTCTTCAGAGTGTACCCCCGAGCGGCCCGAGCTCCTGTTTTGGGGTCCTCCGGTCTAAGCCCGAAAGCCCGCAGGGCTTTCGAACGGCGGATGCTCAGAAGGGCACCTCCACGGCCTGGCCGGCGGGCATCACCCTGGCGGCGAGTTGGGATGAAGCGGCGGCCCTGGAGTGGGGTCGAGGCATGGGCAAGGAGTTCTACGACAAGGGATCGAGACGCAGCCCACGGTTTGGAACGCTTCGGAGCGCGTGGTTCTTTTCTTTTTCTTTTCTTGTCATGAAACATTTGAACACCATTTTTGTATGTTATTAAGTTATTACCTTCTTCAAGTGGTTTGAGGGGCGGAGGGGGCGTCTGGGTTGGCTAAACATTAAAGAAGTCAGAGACCATGCAGTGACTGCTGATCTCTGTTTTTGTTTTCTTTTCCTCCCAGTGAAAGAGGGGTGGAGTTTGTGTTTGGAATGAATGTGTGGGTTCCGAGAGGTGTCGTTTTTGCCCTTTCTAGCCGAGAGAACTGTTCTGAGGGATCAACCAGTATAGTCAGCATCAGCTCGATTGGGGGTGATGGTTTCGTAGCAGAAAAAGCGCTCTGCAACGATCATGAGTTGTCTTGGTCATTACCCAAGGTCTGATCTTAAAATATATGGAGGTACTGTAGACTCCTTAGGTCAATGGACGTCGGGCTCCGTCCTCCAAAAAGACTCGTGCGATCCGAGGAACATCCAACTGGGACCTGGGCTCAATGTGGCCAGGGTGCCTGTGAACGGTCGGAACTTCGAGTATCTCTCAGGTGGGAACTCCTCGGCCAAATCGAATTCGTGGAGAAGGGATATGTATAATCGATTGGCTGTTTTCGGGAACTCACCATTGGAATCGAGATTTTATTCGGAGAGGTTGGTCAATGTATTTTTAATGTTCTAAGTTGCTTTTCAAATCCCTTTTGAGCATTTTCGTGTAAGCTGTTGAAGGCACCAATGAGGTCAACCTGGAGGGACAAGACCATTGTAACATACCTTTGCTGAAGAACTCAGAAACCCACCAAAGAAGACACATCGTGGCCCAAAAAAGCACCTGAAAAGGAAACCACATGGTGAAAAGCGCCTTGGCTGAACTTGGCTGAAAGTAGAACCGGTGAAAGTGCCAGGACATCACATCATTTATCTATCATATTAATCCTCCTGATGCTTGCATCGTTCATACATTGGGATCCATGGGTGCGCGCTGCACTGCTTGAGCCGTGCACGGCGCCCAGCGGACATTCGCAAAGCCGTGAATGATACACATCGGGATCCACCAGGGTGCTTGTAGATCTGATGTAACCTGCGGCGCAAGCAACGACCGTTTGGGCCAGGCGAAGACCCTTACCTGGGCTACCGGATGGTGCAGCCGGTGGTGAAGGGCATTCAATCACAGAAGGTCTTGGCGAACGCCAAGCATTTCATCCTCAACAACCAGGAGGGGGCGGGGTCGGTGGATGAATGGTTTGGATCATGGTAGGTCCACCTTTCGGGCAGGTCAACAATTCTATGAAGAGGCTCTTCAGATTCTCTCTATTGTTGGAATTTGTAAAGAAGAAGCTTCTTAGAAAACATGCATCATCACATATCATCACACATCCCGCTCTTGTCAATCCATTTTTGTCCCGTTTTCAGGTCAAGACTTACTGGGTGACTCCCTGGGACCGTGCCGGGACTCACCGAAGAGAGACCCGGCACGAGGTCTTGACCTCCAAATGCTCGTTCGAGAGACCCAGAGACACAGTGAAGCAATATAGGAACGCATCAGTCCGCATCAGTCATCAGTCTCCACACACTTGTTGAACCAACAAATCGTGTCCCTATGCAGTAAGAAGGGGGCATTTTCGTCTGTCCGGACCGAACCAAGGAGACCAATCGTGGAGCAGTGAGCGCCGAGACGGATGAGCGGACACGGTTTGAAGTCTACTATCCGCCCTTCGAGGGGGCGATTGAGGCCCGGGAGCGGCCGTTCTCGGTGGTGGGGGAGTCAGATTTGCGAAAGCTGAAGAAAGCAGCTTGGGGATAGGTACTTCTTCGGACGTTTAGATTGCCTGTGATAGTTTGGGCTTGGAGAGTATGAATTTCTGACATCTCTCTCTCTCCCTCTCTATAGCTAGCGCCCATTCGGTTCGTTCAGTTCAAGTCCACCGCAAATGTAATGCAATGATATGAAATGTACCTCTAGACTCATGCAATGTCTACATAGACGTGTCCAAGTGCTCCCGGCCGTGCTTAGCGCATGTCATTTAGGCTGGTGTGGCCTCTGTGATGTGCAGTTACAACAAGATCAACAACGTCTACAGCTGCGAGAACCCCACCACGCTGCCTGACGTACCTGGAGTGGGTGGGAGGTTCGGGCTGGAAAAGGCTTCCCCCAAAAGAACCTTGGTGTTTTGGTAGCTCCTTTTATCCTGGGCCTACGGACCTTTCAGCCTAGGGCCTATGATGGTTTTGTGCCTGGGCTACCCCGTAGAGGCACCTATGCTTAGAGAACCAGCATCAGAGCCATGCGTGTGATGTTGACCAAATGTGATTTACCAGTAACTGGCGTGGGCCTCCTTTTTGTGGGGGAACCGTATCAGAAGCAAAACTCCTCACTCCTAAAGAATGGCACGCCAAGATCACTGAACTTGTCACCTCTTTTGACAAGTTCGTTTATATATGTGGTCTTCCTTCCCCTTCCTTCCCCTGGAAACACTTCCTGTAGTCCAACCCAGTCCCTGGGGTGACTTGGTTCTTCACAATCACCTCTCCGTCTGTCCGAGGCTCCGGGAGCTCCGGTCTCTGGGCTTTGAAGGCTTCGTGATGTCGGACTGGGGCGCGGCGCATTCCACCTCCATCGCCGCCGGCTTGGACGTGGAGCAGCCAGGACGTCCAAGTGCGGAGAGATGGAGACTGGGGGGGACGGGGGACGGGTTTGGTGGCGGGTGACTCTGGGCGTGTTGGGAAGACTGAAAGTTCCTAGGCACAGGAGCTGGTGTCATATGACTCAAAGACAGGGTTCCCAAGCAGATGCTACCTAAAGTCCCTGAATCTAGTGATGATGTACTGTGAGGTACCACAAGCAGCAAAAAGTGAATCCCTTCAAGCATGCTCCAAAGAAGCTGGTTTTTGGCTGTCCATCCTTCTCGGAAAGTCCAGGTCTCGATCCACGCTGAGCGAATTATTGCGAGCTCACTTCGCGAGGTACGAGGTAGAATAATTTCAAAACAAAAATATGCGAGGTAAGTCCAGCACCAGGACTCCACCAAGCCAAGCAGCCTTCTTGACGTCTCAGGCCCTAGCCAGGCCTACTGGGTAAGGAACCTGTGCTGAGCAGCTCAAATAGGCCAGCCCCAAGAAACAATCCTATTTTGGCGAAATAGGATTTCCTGATTGGGGATTGGTTTGCAGCCTTGTTGATGTTGTCTTAAGCCCTAGCCAGCCCCACTAGGTCAGGAAACTGTGCTGAACAGCTC